AAAAAAAAAAAAAAAAAAACAGCCCACTACAGTGTGCATGCCATAGGTTACAGTGTGCATGCCATAGGTTCGCCACCGCAGGGCTAGAGTCTCAGAACTGGCACTAGAGCCTGAGCAGTGGGAAGACAAACAGCGGCTGGTGGTCTCTGTGTTGCCAGCGTGGTCTGCATCCTCCTGAGTCAGACCTCTGCGCCTGTGCAGAGCCTGCCTGTCCTGTGGCTCGCTTAGGCTCTTGGGCTCAGAGAGAAAGGATGAAGGGCAGCCATGGACCCGAGAGCTGGAAGGTCCATTCTCTCTTCTGTCACCCTGGGCCCTGGGCTGTATGTTCCTTGCTACCTGCCGCCTACCTCATCGGGTGGCTCTGCTTGCTTCTGAGGTTCTCTGGAGGCAAACAGTAATCCCGTGGGGCCCGTCTGAATCCCTGATTCCAGGCTGGATCCTCATAGACAGATGTGGGAAGCACTTCGGCACCATTTTGAATTACCTCCGAGATGACACCATCACCCTCCCTCAAAACCGGCAGGAAATCAAGGAACTGATGGCTGAAGCAAAATATTACCTCATTCAGGGGCTGGTGAACATGTGCCAGACTGCCCTGCAGGTACGGGGGCAGAGGTGCAGTGGCCTCCTGCGTCAGGAGCTGCCCCTCGTCCGGGGCTGTAAGGGCCCTTTCCTGCAGGCCGTGCAGGCGGGCAGTGAGTCCCCACCGTTAGAACCGTGAGACGTGACCTGGGCCCAGCAACCCGGCAGCCACGTGTCGCTCTCAGCGGTGTGAACAGGCCCTGCTTCTAGGTCATGTGCCTGGATGCCTCGACTTCGGGTTTTCTGGAAAGGGGGTCTGCTTGCCAACTGTTGCCAGACACCACATGATCTGTGTCTGCTCTGTCCTTACCAAGCAGGGGGTGGCTGAGGCAGAGGGGCTCTGGGTAGCTGGCTAAGCGCTCTGCCCTGTGTGTGTGTCACCCAGGACAAGAAGGACTCCTACCAGCCTGTGTGCAACATCCCCATCATCACGTCCCTGCGGGAGGAGGACAGGCTCATCGAATCCTCCACCAAGGTACCAGGAGCTCGGAGGGCTGCGGTCTGGGGATGCCAGGCCCCTGGCCTGGTGCTCACTCTGTCCTCCTTCCCAGCCCGTGGTGAAGCTGCTGTACAACAGAAGCAACAACAAGTACTCCTACACCAGGTAGGGCAGGTGTCCCGCGGAGGGCTGGGGAGGGGCTGCAGGAGCAGCTCAGAGGCCTGAGCAGCCTGAGTGGATACGGGCGACAGACCCAAGGGAAGCCGCTCGCACTCCTGGCATAGGCAGCACAGGTCTGGGTCTTAGACTCGCTTATGCTGAGGGGAAAGAAGAGGGAGTAGAAGGGGATCTGACAGAGGCATTTGAGACTTGGCCCAGGGCCTCCATTAAGTATCAGCAACTGCTCTCTTAACACGTGCCACATCAGGAGCATGCTGGGTGTCCACCTGCTTCACCTTACCAAGCGGAGGAGGTTGCCGGGAAGCCCGCGGGCTGGGAGTCCCCCTCGGCCTTCTGCAGTCCTTGTGCTTCCTGCTGGGCTGACTTTCCCCGTGGCCATGTCCTCCTTACAGTCACACTTCGATATACACAAGTCGTTGGAGGCCCAGAGTCCTCCACTCCCCGCATGACTCCTGTAGCCAGGCACATTGCCAGTGTCACCCGCAAAAGGGAGGAAACACCACCTACTGAAGTAGCCATGTAACCCCTCCCTCCAGTTTGAGAGAGCTCCTACATCATTTCTCTCTAATAAAACTTAGAACCAACTTGCTCACTTTTCCTCACAGACACTCAAATGCTGAGGGTGCCCCGTGACCCTGTATCTCATATCAGTGTGATGGGCGCAGTGGGGAGGGCAGAGCCCAGCTTGCCTCAGCAGCGCCCCCTTGTGCCAGAACCTCATTCCCAGGCCTGCTGGCCTTTGTGGGTTTTTCAGCAACTCTGACGACCACTTGCTGAAAAACATCGAGCTGTTTGATAAGCTGTCCCTGCGCTTCAATGGCCGCGTGCTCTTCATCAAGGACGTCATCGGTGACGAAATCTGCTGCTGGTCCTTTTATGGCCAGGGCCGTAAGCTGGCAGAGGTGTGCTGCACCTCCATCGTGTATGCCACGGAGAAGAAGCAGACCAAGGTATGTGGCCTTGTTCTGCCCAGGAGCAAAACTCCACCAGCCAGGGCGGTGGCGCGCAGGACAGGACTGAGCCCTTTCCACGAGATCCCACAAGGGCCATGCGTTGTTCTCTTTCCCAACCATGTTGTGTGGTGCTGGCCTCGGTTTGTTTGCAAACATTGGGATGAGGGCATGAATTTAAGAGATTTGGAAATGAGACAGCTCCTAGGAAAGCAGTGTGGTGTAAGAGCAATCAGTGGGGCTTTGGAGTTAGAATGCTGTTCCCCACCTGGTCAGCCACCTTCGCCTCTGCAGTCACGTTCCAGAGCCAGGCATGTGGGAGGCATTTCATAGGTGACAGTTCCCATATACGCAGCCCCTTCCTACCAGGAAGCAAGCAGGTATCCTGCCCAGAGGAGCTGTCTCTCCTGGGGCCCTGGGGTGAAGCCGCAGTTCATCTGGGGAGGCCAAGGGGGTGTGAAAGATGCAAAGCAGTGAGGCCCAAGTAGCACCTTCTCGGCCCCCAGATTGCTGCTATCTCCAGCTGGGTAGGGGTCTGCTGAGGTTGGGGAAGGACGGCTTACAGGAGCGGACTCTGCTTCCCCAGGCAAGCTTTGGCGGTGGAATCAGGGACGGAGGGAGGTGGAGAGTAAGGGTTCGCATAGGCTCCCAGCCCCGCCAGTGGAGTCAGGGCTCAGGGCCAGGTGAGCTGTGGCAGTGCAGTGTCACCTGTCAGATTTCTAAGTGTCCCCCTTTGTATGAGCTCCCTCACCTCTCAGAAGAAGGCAGAGCCCTTCTTGTCTGACAGATGAGGGCATGGAAGCTCCGTATGGTGCAGCAAGTTTGCTAATAGAACCCCAAGGCCTTGATTGCCATCCTCTTTCTCTTTCTCCTACACTGGAGGAGGTAAGCAGTAAAAAGGAATAAAATGACCAGGTGCAAAATAAAACCTAAAATGGGGCTGCGGCTCAGTAAGGACGCCCTGGACTCGATCCACAGTCCTGCAGAGATAAATAAATAAAAATAATGATGAGAGCAGCTGCGCAGTCAGCACTGAACTACAAACTCCGGCCTCAGTCTCCCAAACAGCAGGGATTATAGGTGTGTGCCGTCACACCCAAGGAAGCAGCTGCTTTGTATGTATTTGGTTGTTCACTGCTAAGAGATCACTGTTAACCATTACTTCACTCATAGGAACTGCAGCCCAGAAACCTTAGCCCCAAGTCCCTTCACCTGGTCAGTGGTGGAGGTCTTCAGACCTTGGCCCCCTGTCTGTGGATACATGTCCATGTGTCTTGGATGGGGGTGGGACATGGGGCTGGTGTTCATCTTCCGTACCTTTATGCCCGCAATCTCCTCATACCTCCCTCAGAAGACCTGTTCCCCGTCACGAGATGGCCAGCTTCGCTCGCGTGAGACTGGCCGCCTCATGCAGGAGCAAAGGGCCAAGAGCCCTGACACTCCGCTGCCTTACTCACATAAAACCTCCCTTGATCTCATCCCTCTCGCCCAGGTGGAATTCCCAGAGGCCCGCATCTATGAGGAGACTCTGAACGTCCTACTCTACGAGACCCCTCGCGTTCCTGATAACTCTTTGTTGGAAGCCACAAGCCGGAGCCGGAGCCAGGCTTCCCCCAGTGAAGATGAGGAGACCTTTGAACTACGGGACCGAGTGCGCCGCATCCACGTCAAGCGCTATAGCACTTACGATGACCGGCAGCTTGGCCACCAGTCTGCCCACCGCGACTGACAAGACCCGCAGGCAGTCTGGGCACAGGAGGCCCTGTCTCCCATCCTGTGGAGCCCCACCCCATCGGCCACCCCCCATTGCTGCTGTCTGGGTGTCTTGCTGCAGCACCCAAAGCATGACAGGCCTTGCCTGGGAGGTCAGGAGGCCTGGGCAGGGGAGAGGGGCTGTGTTCCGTTGTCCTGGCCTCAGGCACTTCCAGATGCATCTCCCTCCACAAGGAGCTGCTTCTGCTCTGGGATGAATGGACTGACCTCCCACCTCCTGCCAAGAACACTCCCTTAGCTCCTTTGCTGAGCACCCCCTTTCTCAGTTGAGGCCCACAGGAAGCTTTACTCTGGAGAGAAAGGTGGCTTTTGGTGCTGTGGAAGCCCAAACTTTAGCAGAAGAGGGGCTTCTTTTTTCCTAAGGTGTCTAAGCACAGGTTTGATGACTTTTTTTAAAAAAAAAAAAAAAAGGAAATTAATAGTTTTAAATCTAATAAAGGGCCTGGACATTTCTGCCACCCCTGCAGAGTGCAAGGGCCCTGTGTAAGCCAGACCCTCTGGGCCTTTTTGATGCCTTTGGGCTCTGTCTTTAAAGCACTTTGTACTGATTCAGGAAGTTTGTCATTTGCCCTGACCGATGTCTTTTTATGATCCTAATCCCCTTTTGCAGAATCAGTCTGAAGGAGGGGATAAAGAGGAACCAATAAGAAATCCTCATAACCAGCCAGTTTGGCTTTGCCGGCCTGGCCAGCCAGCCCCAAGGGCATCAAGGAAGGAAGGATCCTCAAGTTGGGACCTGTGGTATTAACAGCATCCTGTGAGACCAGACAGCTCACCCCCACGGCTTGGAGGGACTGACAGGATTGTTCTTTTTTGATTCTGGTCCTCGAGGGCATGCTGACCTCACATACCATAAAGCCAGATCCTAGCATAGGGGCCTAGAGCTGGGCCCCAGGAAGTCCACAAAGCCTATGGACAACGCACAGTGCGGGCCTGTGCTCCCAGCTGCCCCTGTGTAGAGGTGGCCAAGGCTTGTCCGTATGTCTGCCTTCCCTGACATCCGTGTTATTTATTCGTTTGTATCCTGGCTAGGAGAAGGCGGTTGTGTGCCGTGGTGTCTCTGGGCAAAGTAACCACAACAACCTAACCCCCTTGAAGACCTTCATTCCTGCTTGCTAGGTCATCTGGCCATGGGGATGTGGCACACCAGCCAGGGCAAGTTCCCCCTCGGAACTTTGGTTTTCATCCCCTTGTTTGGCGTGGCCCTCAGTGGGCAGCTTATCTGAATTCTTTCCAGAGGAGTGCTGTCAGGGAGGGAGCCGCGCTACCAGCCTAACAAAGCAGGGTGGCCGTGGCCAGTCCCACTCTCAGGAAGGAACACGGTTGCCAGGCTCATCCCTCAACTATCAAGACTGCCAAGTGGCTGCTCACTGCACATCCCAGAGCCTACAGGCAAATACCAGGCCCGGTGATGGACGCTCATGAGGACCTGAAATGACAGGATGGGGCAAGGCAAATATGACTTACTAATCAGGCATTTATTAGTCACAATCTTGAATGTATAAATAGCTCTCAGGCCAGGTGTTGGTAACCAGCTAGTAGTCTTCCAGCCCTCACCGGGAGTTAGGGTGACAATCCATTTCTTTGGCCAGATTCAGGCTTTGGCTTTGTGTCTTTCCTACAGACTGGAATGTCTCAGCCTGAGGCCATAACGCTATCTTCTCAGCTGCCCTCTGGAAGGCCTTTAGTAAATCCCCAGCTCCCTGAGGTGTTTTCATGCTTGTCCTTGGACCTCTGCATTCACTCCACCTGCTCATTAGTGCTTTGACATTCAGACCCTTGGCCATCTCAGGGGTACCTAGCTCTGATCCTAAGGAAGCACAGTAGTCTGGGGCTGGGCATTCTTCGTTATCTCCTTGATCTTAAGGAAAACACTAATACTGAATTCACTGACCTGATCTTAGCTTCTTTAATCATTCTTTCTGGCTTAACGGTTGCAGGATTTCTTAGCCTCATTCAGAAAACGCCTCTTGGCAGTGTGAATTTTTGAACTTCAGCCAAGCAAGGGAGAAATAAAAGAATGGATTAAGGTCAAACTTTGTTGGTTTCTGAGAAAACTGGAAGCTTGCTGTTAACAACATAGATGAGGACTTGTTTTTGATGAATCTGGTGCGAGACCATGGTCTGCCTGAAGAATCCTGGCATGAGAATTTTTCTTTTGTCACATAACCGCAATCCTTTGTTGTTTAGCCTAAGTGATGGAAGTAAACACTAATTTCTAATAAAACTGTTATTCTACAGTGGTACACAGCTATGTTTACGATGGTGTGCGACCACATTCACATGTGTACAGCGATACACAGCTTAGCCAGCTCACAGCTGTCGGCTCAGTTCTTGTATTTCTGTTCCCCTTATGACTTCCTATTCTAGCCAGGTCATAAAACTATTGGGTTACCTCATAACCCAGGGTCCCCCTAGTGGAGGATTAAAGAAAACACAAGAGTTGGAACTGTGATTTTAATATTAATTCAAAAATGAACCTACCTATAACAATCACTGCAGTAGGAGGAGGGAAGGAATCCTAAGAAGTGGGGCAAAATACTTCCCAACTTCTTTGGCTCTTGGAGATCTAAGAAGCTCTTAAAGTAGGTGGCTTGGTCACTGTCCATACTTTAAGCTGTTCCTTGGCCAAATTCCTGCACTTGCGGCGTGGATAGGCACAGCAGGCAAACTCAGTGTGCCAGGAAACCCGACGGGCTCACCACTCCTTTCCCAGCCCAGCAAGGCCAGAGATGCTGGTGGTCAGTGCTAAGAGCCAGGCCACTCCAGCCCCGACACTGGCCTCCTCTGCACTTGGCAGAGGCGAAAGACGAGAACAAGAGTCCAGTCCAGCACCCACTCGCTGGCAAGAGGTAGTGCCTGCAAGATATGTCCAACCAGCCTCCAGGCTCAGGGGAAAAGACACAAGGCCTAGCAGAGAGGGCAGCTCCCTGGAAGTGACTACATGGGAAGCGATCAAGGGCCCCCACTGGGTCAGAAAGGGAGCCTGAGACCCTGAGAGCAGAAATGGCGAGCACTAGTTTATTGACCAAACTTCATGTTCCAGACAACTTGTGACAGGTCAGGAAACTCCTCCAGGCCTGTGGCCGCTGAACAGTTCCTTGATGGAAAGGTTTATGGGAACACGAGATAGGCAGGGCTTAGGAGGAAGCCGGCCAGCCTTAGAGGAGTCCTACATGGGCCTTCTCAAGAAAACACATACTACACCCCGCAAAAGATAGAGCCCCACAATCAAATGTGCAAAGGATGAAGAGACCCATTTGGGCCATGATGGGGGAGAAAGGAGTTTTGCAGCAATTGTGGGTTTACAGCTGATCTGAGGGGCCAAGCCTAGGCACGCAAGGCCTCAGCTGGCCTACCAGTGAAGGCCTGAGGGTGGTGTCTTCTCATCTTTATTGCTTTCCAAGGAGAAAGGTGGGATCCGGACATCAAAGTGGGAGCCATCAGGTCTCTCGAAGCGGAACGTACCCCTGGGGTCAGAAAGAAGCTGGTTTAGAGGGAGTAGCGGCTAAAGTCTGCTGAGGATTTCGATAGGCCCATGCCCTCAGCTCCAGAGCCATAGCAGGATGAGGTAGGCCTAGGCTCTCTTCTGCTAACTTCTGACAGGACGACTGGTCCAGAGACCCAAAAACCCCTCTTAGTCCTACATGGAAAGAATCACAGCTGTCCAGATTTTGGCCCTGCAATGCACACTGCATGAACTATCCAACTGCACTCGCAGGGGAAAAGCTACATAAGCAACTCAGTGTAGCATCAAACCCCTAGATCAGTGGTACCAAACCTATGGCACATGTGCTGCAGCAGGCTGTTTGTATCACTGAAAGCTCAAAAAGGTTCGCCATCACTGCCTTAGATCTTTTTTTTTTTTTTTTTGGTTTTTCTCCGGTACCGGGAACCGAACTCACGACCTTGTGCTTGCCAGGCAGGCGCTTTTGCCGCTGAGCTAAATCCCCAGCCCTCACTGCCTTAGATCTAAGTCCTCAGTCCACATCACAGGGAACCCAGAAGAGGCAGTCACAAAAAACAGGCAAGTCCCACACAATAATGAAGAGCAGATAAGGCCCAACCTCAGGATGTGATTTGGCCCAGAGCTGACCACTGGCTCGGTGCTTGTTATGAGCTCCCACTTTTCTGACCTAAAGCTCCATCTGAGTTGAGTGGTGCCTGCCCCACTCATGCTCACTTACCACATGTGCCCACTAGAGGCCTGCAGGGAGACATGGCTGCTGTACTGGAATGCCGGCTGCTCTTTGGACAACACTGGTTCCTGTAAGGATTCAAGCAAAATAGGTCAGGCCAAGCTCCAGGGACGCATTTCCTGCACTCAGGAGCCACATGCTGCCAGTCATCATTAGTGGAGGCACGCCAACCAAGCAACCACCACAGCAGGCATTCCAGTGACAATGCGTCAGCTCCACCTCCGACAGCATGGTCACTGGCTTGGTCTTCCATTCTGCCCCTGGGAAGGTAGTCTCAGACTGGCTGATGGACTGAGGACACTAGGCAAAGACTCTGGGCACAAGACCTACTCTGAGAACAGCCCTTTCAGTGTCTACTCATGACAGCTAAGAGCTAAACACCTCAACAAGTACTCTGCAAACTGCTGCTGACTGAATTCTCCTGGTGATCTCTATTGCAGCAGTAAGAAACAGATTTTGGTAAGTAACCTGCCCAAAGTTATGTGGTGAGTATACGGCTAGAATCTGAAGCCAGACTATAATTGCGAGCCCTGCTCTTACTTTTCATGCCCCTCAACACGGATAAATGCTGTTGGATGTGGGCCCTGACACCAGTTATTCTTGTGACCTTATTTCTCAGAAGAAAGGGGAAGGTAGGCAGGGACACAAAATCACATCTCTTTAAGGGCCAGCAAAAGAAGCCTGGCATGGTGGTACACGCCTGTAATCCCAGCACTCAGGAGGCTGAGGCATTAGGATCACTGTGAATTGAAGGCCAGCCTGGGCTACAAAGTGAGTTCAAGGCCAGCCTGAACTGCATAGTGAAACCCTGTCTCAAAAAGACAATCAATCAATCAATCAATAACCAGTGAAGGATACACATGTATAAAGAGGCAAAGACAACTATGGGTGTTGCCTGGGGGAGGAGGTACGGGGCCTGTGGTGGGCTCACCTCAGTGCATTCAAATTCAGGTCTTTAGAAGACATTACACTGCTCAACAAAAAGCACACAAGCTTGGACTTCGGACTCACTTGGACTGAAATCCCAGCCCTGTCACTACTAGCAATGAGAGTGTGGCTCATCATGTAGCTTCTCCGCCTCTCTCTTCTGGGAAATAGCTGTAGCGATCTATGTCACTGGGTTATTGTAAGATTTCTAACCTGAGACAACCCAGTGTGTTCACAGTGAGTCTCTGCCTGTAACCACAGGACAGGAAGAAAACACACACAAAGCCTCGAGGACCGGTGATACTCACCCTGCCCACCACCCCTCGGCCTCGCACTGTCTCCAAGGTGCCCGAGAGGCTAAATATCCTCCAGTGCCGCTCCCGGAGCTGCACCACATCACTGTCCAGGTTCTCTAAGCGGATACAGTAGCGCCACTGTGAGGGAAGAAAGGGAGAGTTCATATTCACAAAAGAATAGACCTTGGGGTAGCCGATCTAGAGTTCTGAGAGCACAGAGGCAACAAAGGCTGACATCTTTGGTGCACAGGCTCCACCTCCCCACCTGACCCGAGGCACTCCTGAGCTCCCCCGTGTCCTCAGGAAGACACTTACCCAGTAGACATGGGAATTCTGGGCTTCCTGGGGGAAAAAAACACAAAGAGTTTAAGTCCCAGAAGGCAAGACCAAGTCTGTTCCAATCGACACGTCTCAGCGAAGTCCGAGCATTCCGGAAGGCTGCAAAGGCAGACTAAGCTGCACACATCTGTGGGATGACGGTGATAGAACTATGACCAGCAAGCCCATAGGGCGGCGCCTCCCGTGTCCATTCCTGGTCTCCATCCTGCTCATCCTGTCAAGACCACCAACAGAGCTGGAAGCCAGCCAAAGCCCACCACAGGCCCCGTACCTTCCTCACCATGCACTGCCTTTTCTCCTTGCCAGTGCTGCCGCCCGCCATGGCCGCCAGGCCCCAGTCCTGCTCCATCCTCCCACAGTCTCGCACTGCAATACTTTGTGGATCTTTGTTTCTCTCTCCCTTAACCATGAGCTCATGGAAGGCAGGAACAGCTGTTCATTTATATTTGTATCCCCAGGCCTCGCTTAGAGTGAGGAATAATAATTATGTGGCTACTAGATAAGAAGTGCAAAGACAACCCTACACTATTTTGGGCAAGGATGTGTACATTCTTTATAAGGCTGCCTCTGAGCCCCAGCAGAGAAAGGAGAGCAGGAATGGAGGACCCCTTGCTGGAACCTGTGGGTCTTGTGCGAGCCACTGCCCAGAGGCTACTCAGCCCTACCCAACACAGGAGCACTTGGAAGCAGAACCGCAGGGACATCGTTTAGATCGAAACTCCCCCACCCCAGGACTCACACTGGGGACACCACCCAGAATCTCAGGCCTAACGCTGCAGGAAGGGGCACAGGCAGGACGCATACCCTCATGCCCATGTAGAAAGGGATGACAGTGACACGGATGTTCTCGGTTGTCTCCCGGTGGACGTCGGACAGCTCTAGCCAAGGGTGGTTCTTCTCTTGCCAGGCCCGCAGCGTTTCCCGAGCCACAAAAGGGGGCGCTGGGACAAGAACAAACAGGTCAGTCCTGGCCAGAGCCCGGTGAGCTGCACTCACTCTCCAACTGCCTGACCCCTTCCCAGGAGCGGGCCTGGTGAACAGGGCGCACGCAGAGCAAAAGCAAAGCTGCAGCCCGGCCTGGCAGTGCATGCCTGTATCCCTAGCACTCAGGCCTGCCTGAACTACACGGTGAGACCCTGTCTCAAACAAATACACAACAAAAAATGCAAGGCTGGAAGAAGGCACAGAGCACTGCAAGGATAACCCGAGGGGCAGTATGATTCCACAGGAAGGACAATGAGCTGCGAGTTAACAGCCCTGGTTTTCAGACCTCCAACCGTTGCTATCTCGCAACTTTCAATCACTGCTCATCATTCCGAAGCCAGAGTTTCTATCTCTGTAAGGAGACAGCAGCCATCAGCCTCACAGAGCTAATAGGAGGCCAGAAAGGTTCTAGAGAGATTCTGTGGAACTACTTCTGCGATACTCTCCCCAAAGGAAGGGCCTTCCATTCCTGTCTCCTGGCTGAGACAGACTACCTTTCGTCTGGTCATACAGAAGAAATCTTTCAAAGAGCTCATGCTGGATGGGAACCTGGTCGGTGGAGGTGTAGGGGAGGATGTCTTCATGGCTGACATAGTCCAGGCCTGGCAAAGAGAAGCAGAGTGAGGCTCACACAGAAGAGACAGAGAGGAGCACGGATGAGAAGAAACATTTCCTGGCCTTGCCCCGGGTGGGTGACCCCAGCAACACACAAAACCAACCCCTCCCTGCAAATAAGAGGACATCAGACTCCTCTCCCGGGGACACACCAGTCCCCTTCCTCAAAGGCACTGCTCAGATGCTAACTCCTCACCTGGAATGGCATAGAGGGCCCGGCTGTCATCATGGTTAGCCAAGAAGGTCACAGCTTCTGTCTGAGATCTCTGAGACTAAAGTATGAAGAATGTCAGTGGCTTTCCTGGCACTGTCCAGTCCTGAAACCCTGGGGCCCAGGACTAATCGGGCTGTTTGACCACCTCCCCCTCCCTTTGACCCCACTGGGGTACAGGCCTTCTCCATGGACAGAACTCCCAGGCTCAGCCATCTCGCTTACTTACTATATGTGGACAGTCTCGGGCATCAATCAGCACCTGATAGTAAGTGTGAGTTTTGCCTTTCACCTCCTTAGAGCCGTGGCCAGCAGGATTCTCCGCTCTGTGGTTGAAAGAAACCCAAGATCATCCTGAAAGGAGTGGAACCTGTGCTTTACTCAGCTCCCTACCACTCCCTTACCTAGACAGGCTGCTGCCTGATGCTTTAACATCACTGGGCACCTGATCAGCAACACCCAGCCTAACCACTCGCTTGTCAGGGCAAGGGGGGCCCATGCAGCCATCATTTGCCTTACTCTCTAGATGCCTCTTGGAAAGGGGCCATGTTGAGAAAATCCAACTGCCATCTCAGTCCCCAGGGGACCACGTACACTACCCTCTCACATCCCAAGCATTTAATGGAGCTATTTCTTTTCTTTTTTTTAATGTACTCTAGTGATGGTGTGAGATTAAGGGCAAGTTTCCAACTGAACATCAAGAAACCAAGATGACTAGCCCCTCAATGCCACTGGGGTACTTAATGCAAATGGATAGTAGTGTGGGAAAGCACTCTGGGGAGATCTAAAGGGACCCTCTGGCTTAAGACTGTCCCTAACACTCAGCCCCTTTGTCTACATGGCTATCAGTGCCAGAGAAATACTCTGGGGCTGTTTCTAAGGCCCAGAAGGATGCTGCCTTCAATCATGAGACCCTAATTACGTACATCTGCAATGAACTGGGCTGTCCCCTGAGGACACTGTGGGCCTAACGAGAAGGACTTACTTTTCTGAAGCTGCAGAAGCCACATCCCGGTCATATAGTCTGGCCTGCCAGGGAAACAGGACAACACCTCGGTAGCCAAAAACACTATGAAGAAAAAGCTAGAAGAAAAGAGAGGTCTCAGTAAGTCCATAATCTAGTCTAAGTCCATCTAAGTGAGACCTGACCATGAAGCAATACATGGTGAGACTTTAGCACAAGGTCTTGTACCTTTTCTCTTAAGCATCTCCAAAACAACTTTGGAACACTACATGCCCTGTTCACCTAGCTGACTACATTCATCCCTCAGATTGCAGCTTTGGCCTTCAGGAAGCCGCCACTGACCTCCCCTCCACTGTGGACAGCCACCAACTATCTGTAGGGCATTAATCCCTTTCTAGAGTATCAACTCCATGAAGGCAAAACCACGTCTACTTGCTTTCTGACTTAACCCTAATATATAACGTCTGGTCCATTACAGGCATACAAAAAGACTGCTGAAGAAACAAAAAGTCTTCCTTACACACAAGGGGCCTAAATCTATCCCACTGGACCTGGAACAAAGCTGACAAAGAAAAAGAGCCTCACCGCCAGAGCTTACCACACTACAATCAGTTTGCTAATGAAACACCCAAAGTTTGCTTTTCTGAAAGTTCTCTGCACTGATTTCATACCATCCACTATATGAAAGAAATCCTCAACCACTTCACTTTCTCTTCTCCACACTAATAAGCAAACAGTCCCTCTCTACACTAACTTGGAAAGAGAACATGCTGATGTATTAAGTGCATTAAAATCCAGGGAAACAGAAACTTCATCTTAAAAACTTTGATTCTGGCCCAGCATCAAATATTAAGATGGAACAGCAGCAGGAGTGTGGCTCAGTGCTAGAGCACTTCCCTAGTACTGTATGTACTTGAGTTCAGTTCTCAGCATCACACACACACACACACACAAAGAAAAGAAAAAAACAAAGAGAAGAACGAACCATACCATTAAGACCTGTGACCAAATGTGACTCCGTTCAAAAGCTGATCTGAAAATGAAGGCCAACCTAGCCCAATACTTACCTGCCCAGTCTCGTATTTTCCGTTCTGTTTTGGCACCTCAAACACACCAACTGTCTCCAATACTTTGCCCTCCGCTCGGTTTCTGATTAGAAAGGAAAAGAACAAGCAAATGAAAAGCTGAGTGGTTAATGATTTTTTCTTTTTTTATTTTATTTTATTTTTATTTTTTAATCTTTTTGAGACAGGGTCTCGCTATGTAGTTCAGGCTGGCCTTGAGCTCACTTTGCAGCCCAGGCTGGCCTTGAACTCGCAACAATCCTCCTGCCTCAGCCTCCTGAGTGCTGGGATTACAGGCATGTGCCACCATGCCCGGCTTCTTTTTTTTAGACAGGGTCTCACATTATGTAGTTCAGGCTGGCCTTGAACTTCCAGGGATCCTCCTACTTCAGCCTTCAGAGTGGTGGGATTACAGGTGGGCATTACCACACCCAGCCCTGAGTGGATAATGATTCTTATCAATCAGAAAAAATAATCTAGTAGGATATTTATGGGCCAGGACAATGACAGTAGAGAGATTTGGGGCAGTGTGGCCAGCTGAAGCTGGTCAGAGGCCTGCCAAGCTATGAGAGCACAGAACTGCCTTTCCTGCTTTGAGGGCAGGCCACATGCCACTGCTTGGTGGATACCTTCCCAATCTCCCAGTATTAGATCTGACTGCTCCCAAGTCACTGTCTTTCCTCTTTCCTCGGCACCCCTCTACTCATATCATACCCTCAGGCCCTGCTTAAATGTACCCTTTTCTCCATTTCTTCTCTAACTCACTATCCTGACCTCTGACAGCATTTTAAATGTCCTTCTCACTTTGCATTTCAGTTGTGTCCCTGTCTCGTCACCAACAGAAATTCTAAGTTTTCTGAGAGCAATACCTGTCTTTGATTAGCCTGTGCTATCCTCAGAGCCTAGTGTGTAAGATACGCTCAAAAAATTCCTGTTCTGTGTCATAATTCCGCGTCCACCTCCCCTCGAAACGACAGTCTTTAACCTGCCCTTCAGAACCTAAACAGATTCCCTATTGGACTCCAATGCACTCCGCTGAGCCCTGCAGTCTCTCACTATAGTTTTGTTCGGGTTTACATCAGTTTTCACACGGGCCTTGAACTGCAGACGGCTATCACCTCTTCCAAATATCAGGAACTATCTTATCTCAGCCACTAGGTCAGCTCTGGCAGTCACCTCTCTGGTCAGTGTTGCCTTTCAAAGCACTGTTACTCTATTTTGGAGGTGCGAACTTGATCCACTGGCCCCAGTCTGATCCACCTGTCCCATGCCCAGAAGCACCGTTCACACCAGCACCGCGCCTGCAACCCCTTTCTCCAAGTCACAGGCAAACCTGGGCCCCGCAAGGGCCCACACGCAAGTCGACTTGTTTCCTACCTCTAACACCCTTGTGAGGGACGCCATGACTCGACAGGGGCTGGGGGCTGAAGTCAAAAGCTCTCGGGCTGCACTAAAAGGCTGTCCACTAAGAGCGGAGCTGGGGACCCGAGCTGGGAGCGTGGGCAGGCCCCCTCCGAGGCTGCCCTGCACGGCCGGGCTCCGGGCCGCGCTCCCTGCCCTGCTCCTGGCACATGTCCCAGGCACGGCACGTCGGCTCCCCGCTCGGGACCCTCTCCCGGCTCCAACTCCGGTCACCCTCGGACGACCCGGCCTCCGACCCTCCTTACTGGCCACGAACACGATCCCCGGGGCTCCGGGCCCGGTCCCCGCGCCCCCTCGCTCGGTCCCTCACCGGGACGAGAGATGCCTCTGCGTCGTCGTAGTCGCCGCAGGTGGGAAGCCCGGTGCTCCCCCCGCGGCACACAGCGGCCTCGACCCTCGGGCAGCGGTCAGAGACCGGGACCACCAGCGGCTGCCCACGGCCAGGGCCCGCCGGGCCACACAAGCAGCCATGTCCGGCCGGAGCGCCCGCCCGGCTGCCGACACAGGGCCCGACCCGCG